CTGAATATATAAATGTAAATCTGAATATATAAATGTAAATCCTGAATATATAGTTATAACTCTGAATATTTAAATGTAAATTCTGAATATATGAATGTAAATCCCGAATGTATAGTTATAACTCTGAATATATAAATGTAAATCTGAATATATAAATGTAAATCCTGAATATATAGTTATAACTCCGAATATATAAATGTAAATCTGAATATATAAATGTAAATCCTGAATATATAGTTATAACTCCGAATATATAAATGTAATCCTGAATATATAGTTATAACTTTGAATATATAAATGTAAATCTGAATATATAAATGTAAATCCCGAATATATAGTTATAACTCTGAATTTATAAATGTAAAATCTGAATATATAAATGTAAATCCTGAATATATATTTATAACTCTGAATATATAAATGTAAATCTGAATATATAAATGTAAATCCTGAATATATATTTATAACTCTGAATATATAAATGTAAATCTGAATATATAGCTATAACTTTGAATATATAAATGTAAATCCTGAATATATAGTTATAACTCAGCATGTGAGCTCCTCTCAATATTCCGCTGTATCCCAATGCGCTCCACATTGTTGGGGGCTTTTACCATTTTGCATAGGTGGCCTCAGCACAATGTTTGTGTGATAATAGGCCATTCTTTAAACTTTATTATTTTCAGAAAGATTGTCATGGATACAGAGACAGTTGAAACAAAGGCAGATCTTTATTTTACAAAAGCACAAGGTGTTGGTGTTATTGTGAATGTACACAAAATAAAAGTAGACCATATGTTGTTGTCTTACACACTAACCTGTATGTCCAAAATTTTATGGAGTTTCTTCCGTTGTCATTAAAGAAAAATCCATCAGAACGTGCTGGTGCGTTCATTGTACAGGGTTAGAGAAAAGTTTTTTTAGTTAAAAGCCCCCAACAATACCTTAAAAATAATCAACAAAGGCTATAGTACAGTAGCCTACGTTACACTGAGATTTCATGTCGGAGCTGGATTTGAGCGCTTGGGCCGTGAGCAACTGAGTGGAGCGCATTGCGATACAGCGGAATATTGAGAGGAGCTCACATGCTGAGTTATAACTATATATTCAGGATTTACATTCCAACGCATTCTCACCCCAAGGCGTCACCTTTGACCATGCTTCAATATTTGACGTTTTAGGCGCCCTTTAGCGTCACTTACATGACGCGATCCTACGGCGTCATCTAACTGACGCTAAAGGAAAGCGTCAGTTAGAGGACGCGGTTAGGTTTAGGTGTGGGGTGGGGGTAGGGTACACGCGATCCTAGGGCATCATCTAACTGACGCTAAAGGGCGCCTAAAGCGTCAGATATTGAAGCATGTCCAAATGCTTCCCAAGGCGTCAGTTAAGTGACGCCTTGGGGGTGAGAATGGGCTGTACATTCATATATTCAGAGTTATAACTATATAGTCAGGATTTACATTTATATATTCAGAGTTATAACTATATATTCAGATTTACATTTATATATTCAGAATTCTAACTATATATTCAGGACTTACATTTATATATTTAGATTTACATTTATATATTCAGAGTTATAACTATATATTCAGATTTATATTTATATATTCAGAGTTATAATTATATATTCGGTACCTACATTTATATATTCAGAGTTTTGACTATATATTCAGGATTTACATTTATATATTCAGAATTATAACTATATATTCAGGATTTACATTCATATATTCAGGATTTACATTCATATATTCAGAGTTATAACTATATATTCGGGATTTACATTTATATATTCAGATTTACATTTATATATTCAAAGTTATAACTATATATTCAGGATTACATTTATATATTCGGAGTTCTAACTATATATTCAGGATTTAAATTTATATATTCAGATTTACATTTATATATTCAGAGTTATAACTATACATTCGGGATTTACATTCATATATTCAGAATTTACATTTAAATATTCAGAGTTATAACTATACTGTATATTCAGGATTTACATTTATATATTCAGATTTACATTTATATATTCAGAGTTATAACTATATATTCAGGATTACATTTATATATTCAGAGTTATAACTATATATTCAGGATTACATTTATATATTCAGAGTTATAACTATATATTCAGGATTGCATTTATATATTCGGAGTTATAACTATATATTCAGGATTACATTTATATATTTGAAGTTTTAACTATATATTCGGGATTTACATTTATATATTCGGAGTTATAACTATATATTCGGGATTACATTTCATTATTTCCTGTTTGGCCCCCCATAATATATATATATATATATATATATATATATATATATATATATATATATATACTTATATATGTATATACTTATATATATATATATATATATAGATACATATATAAAAGATGCCACCGGCTGGTGCCTTTAGGGTTATTCTGCACGACGTGCAAAAAATTAACCCCTGCTTTTTTAAGTATATATATATATATATATATATATATAAAGAGGGTTATTCTGCACTTAACCCTCTTAAACGTAACCCCCGCTTTGACTGTTGAAGAGAAGTGTGCTGAAGAGCTTGCATCAGTGAGGGCTCTGCAAAATATATATACATACAAACACACACACATAAACACAGACACCAGCAAACCCCCCCCCCCTCCTCCCCACACAGACACTGATAGAGACAAGATACACATCTAAACAACAATATCTGACTTTCTTTTGGTCTGAGCTTCTTACTGTAATTAGAAAGTTGATCTGCTTGACAAGAACAATATACGTGGCAAGTTTTGTAACTGTAGGTAAAACGAGCAAAGTTATAACACATTTTATGTTTCCTTTTTTAGTCATAAAATTAATTTCCTTGCCACGGCCAAACCGTTCGAGATATCAAAAATCCGTCCGGAATTGAGCATCCTCAATGTCTTGACTTCATGCACACCGAGTTTTGTGGTGATTGGTAAACACATGCATTGTAATTTGATGTATTTCTCCTAGGAGATTTATTCAAACAACCCATAATTCCCAACTTCCATTTGACCTGTCGTAAAACTTAGAGCACGAAAGTTGTTTGGCCTGATGTGATCTATAAGTGTACCGAGTTTCATATTATTACATGCAAGTGTGTTTGATTTATGGACCAAATTTTCAGATCAAGTTTATGGACCAAGTTAATTTAATTAATAAACTAATTATATAAAACTATTGTCAATGCACTACAATTAAACTGGTTATATTATGCCTTTACTTATAAAAAATTTAAATAAAAACTTATTTAAAACATACCAGGCTAAAGAAATGTATTTTCTTTTTTCTGCAGGCCAGACACACAGCAGTGAAATGGTTAAGCCCCCTCCCCCTAAAAACCCACACACACCCAGTCAGGCAGAGGCAGAGACACAGAGATGTAGGTTCAGAGAGAGCATGACCACATTCAAACAAACATATCTGACTTTCTGTGGGTCCTAGCTAATGAGTGTCAATTAGAAAGTTGTCCGGCTCGAGGAGTAGAATATACATACTGATTTTTGTAACTGTAGATAAAACTAACAACCCCACTTTTGTCAAAAGGTGGCGCTACTGAGCCCTCACCACGCCCGTTTCTGACACTTTGCATGTCTACTGGCTAATAAATTTGATGTGTCTGTCGAGTTTCATGCAATTTGAAGCATGCTAAGAGTATCAAAAGCATCCTAAAAGAATGGTAAAGTTTGATGCGTTGCCACGGCAACAGTTTCAAAGATATCAAGAATCCATTCACATGTCTTCATCTGCTGTGTATTTACATTATACACATAGAGACACATTTAGTGTGACCGGGTTGATCTATCTATGGCAACCAAACGTCACTGGTGAGACAAACGTGCAACGGACGGACGGTCGGATTACGTTTTGGCAGGGGAAAAACTGATCAGAAATTGTAATGAAAATGTAACAGAAGTTGTAAAAATGTAGTGGAGTAGAAAGTATAATAATTGCTGCAAAATGTAACGAAGTAAAAGTAAAAAGTATGCACTATTTATTCTACTTAATTAAAGATAGATGAAAAATGTACTTAAGTAAAGTAACAAAGTATTTGTATTTCGTTACATTCCACCACTGCTCACGGAAATAGCAAGCATTTATGTATTCTGCATAATTTGTTCAAATCTGCATTTGTATGCACAATGGCAGCTGTTTTAGCAATTTGCAACCAAAAAAAATAGCTGACTTAGAACTACCTGCACATTAAATGTTTTTTTTGTTTGTTTTTTGTTTTTTTGTTTTTTTGTTTTAATTCAGACATTCCAGCCAAACAAATTCTGTATTGAGACAGACTATGATATATTAAAGTTTAATTCAAGGGTCACGTTTTGAGAAAACTCCACAGAATATTTGATCTAAATCAGATGTATATGATATTTAACATAGATGTTTTAAAGGTTAAAGCATCTTCAGAATTGTCTTCCTTGAACAGTCTGACACATTTTTCGAGCAATGACGTTAGCTTCTATTGACTGGAATAATAATTGGCACCTGGCCACATGTTTGTGTCATGGGCTCAGAAAGAATTTTGGTAAACATGTTATGTATAACCTGTTTTAGATGCCCTGTTCATTGATGGATGTAAACCTCAACTTCCTGTAGGAATAGAGAGGAAGGCCGTTCATGTGTTTGTACTACAGGGTTGTTGTACTGAGGCCAGGGACAGGGGACAGAAAAAAAGGTGTCACGGTGTTCTGTGCTTAAACGGCTCTCAAATGCTTCCCCTCCCAAATGGCTTTGGGCTTTCATTTCCTTTTTGTTCACAAAATATGCAGATATCCGGCATGTGTTTACTGGTTTATGCTACTTGCCATCAAAACAGGAGCTCAATAGTACATGTGTCTTAGATAATTAATTTTTTTTGATCCCAATCAACTAAAATTATGTGTATGAGTAAAAAGAAATGAACTGCAAAAATTAATTTCTAATCTTTCAGTGTTTTTCTTTTTGTCTTTCCAGAAAAATAGATCCTTGGTAATGACAAGCATGCCCACTGAGTGAGTATCTATTATTGTCATTTCAGAGTACTTTGAAAAAATGAAAATAATAAATCTGGATCATTCCATGTCAACTCAACCCCGGCTCAAATTTTTTATATTGTTAATATTTTTTCTTGTGAAAGACAAACATAAATAGTGATGAAAGCCAAAATTTAAAATGTCATGGATGAATATTTGAATGATTTACCATTTTGTGTTCAGGTGGGTCAAAATGACAATTTTCACCTGAGATTTGGGGTTACAGGGGGGTAAAATGACTAGAAAGATGGGAGCATAATTTTATTTTTACATGGAGATTGGTAGGTCTGTTAGTAAAATCTGTTGACTTTAGTCATCTGTGTTGGATTATATGCAAATGGTGACCATTCAAAAATGGGAAATAACAAAAAAGTGTTTTTTTTTCCTCCCTGAAGTTTGTATATAGGAACTCAAGAAATAATAAAGAGATCTTTATCCTTTTAGGTTTTGGAACAAATATTGTTCAAATTTAGAAAAATATATTGTTTCCCTCAATCAAAACAATTAACCATTTACAAAGACCCGCCCTTAGTTACAGTTGCTACATGTATGTCCGTCACGCCATGGCACTTTTGTGTTCTCACGCAATAAAAAATACATTGCGGAACAGAGGACACTGACAATGTACCAACAGACAGTGCAGAGCAGGTTACTTTTGATATGAAACAAAGTCTCAGCTTTCAAATTGTGTTTTTTCCCTTAAGAAATATAAACAAATACAGTTTTGTTGCTCTTTAATGTGTTCAGTAAAAGCTGCTTGTGAATCGATCATCTCTTCTATTTAATTTATAGCATCAACCATGGACAGACGTCAGTACACACTGTTGTTCAAAATCAAATTCACTGACGTTAATCTACTAACTCTCCTGAATGCTTTGTCAGACAAAATGGTGGATTTGGCGGATGGCAGATTATGATTGGTCAGATTGCCTGTCAATCAAACACTCGGCGAAGGGTGAATTGCTAAGAACACGCCTGTCTGAGTGGCAAAAAGGTTGTTTTTACTGAAGTTTGCCTGCTGTAACTCAAGTAAAAATATTAAAGATATCAATGCGATTTTAGGAATTCTGTAATTTTTTTTGAATTTTCTATTTTAATTATAATTCCAGAGATATCAGAATCTCAATTCAGTGCCATGTCCAAATTGTTGAATTTTAGCCATTTTCAATAGTTGAAAACCAAATGTAATTTTGCGTTTATCCATTCATGACTGTTGTCACCACATATAAGAACAGTAACACATGGTTTAGGACTTAGTGTGACGTCAAATTGGAAATAACCAGGATTAATTGTTGGATAAACTCTGTGTAAAGTATGATCCCATTTACCCAAGATTTATAATAACCCATAGTGAATTATTTCATGTGTGAGAGCCCTTAAATGTTTCAAAGTTAAGGTATTATCAGTGATACCACAAAATATGCCCCATAGCAGTGGATACTACTCAGTGTATGACTATTCTTCACATATTATAACAAGAGAAAATTGTAATACTTAAACCATCCAGTTGAGTAAAATCTTGTTTTACTGATGTAAATACAATGTGTGGGGAGAGCAAACAAAGTTTCCTAGCTGGCATGGAATTTGTTTCTAACTTGTAATAACAATACTAAATATTTGAACTGTTGCTAGCTTCAGAAGCTATTAAAATGAACAAAACCCTTCTTCCAAATATCTCTTTTTGATTCATATAACATGACTACTGAGAGCAAGTTGTTGTGTCACAACTTGACCATTTCATTGTAGTTTTGGTACTCCGGATTGTATGTTCCATGCAAATGTTTTGATAGAGGGACACAAGATATATTACTAGTTTCAACATTATGTATTCTTCAGAGTTTAATACAGTTTGCTTTGTACAAAGTGACCCACATTTGTTTTTTGACTGTTAAAATGGGCAATATTCAACAATTTGGACATTGAGTAGCATTGAGATCCACATATCTGTGGTACTGAACCATATAGGCCTTGCAAATTAAAATACCAAAATAAATAATTGCTAAGAACCAGAATGTAAAATCATTTTGAGATATCTTTAATACTTTATTAGTTACAGGCATGCAAACTTGGAAAAAATTATATTTTTGCCACTCAGGAATGTTGTATCTTGTTTGCTTCTATGAAATGAATTGCATACATTTCTTGTTTCAACATTATTATTTTTTTCAGACATTCCTCTTTAAAAAAAGAATAATAATTCTGTTGTATGCGAATTGACCCAAATTTGGTTTTTAACCGAAGAAAATCGGGTACATTTACATTGTTTTAAAGGGTTAGTTCACCCAAAAATGAAAATTCTGTCAGTATTTACTCACCCTCATGTTGTTTCAACCCCGTAAGACCTTCGTTCATCTTCGGAACACAAATTAAGATATTTAAGATATTAAGATCGCTCCTGCATACAGTCCATAGGCTTCTTGAGGTACTGGCTCTTGCTGTCCTCGAAAAGTCATTAAAGACATCGTTAAAATAGTCCAAGTGACTACAGGGGCTCAATCTTAAGTTTATCAAACGACGAGAACACTTTTGTGCGCAAAAAAACAACAAAAATAACGACTTTATTTCAACTATTCACTTCCTTCTCCATGAGCCTGTAAGTCAGTTAACGTAGTGTGATTGCGTAGAGCTACGTCACACGTAGGCTCACTATTGGCCGACGCTGGTCATGTGTGTGTGATGCGTGTGACGTACAATAACAGAAGCTTACGCTATTAAACTAGTAACCTGACTCGCGCAGAGGGAGAAATAAACGAATAGTTGAAATAAAGTCGTTATTTTTGTTGTTTTTTTGCGCACAAAAGTGTTCTCGTCGTTTGATAAACTTAAGATTGAGCCCCTGTAGTCACTTGGACTATTTTAACGATGTCTTTAATGACTTTTCGAGGACAGCAAGAGCCAGTACCTCAAGAAGCCTATGGACTGTATGCAGGAGCGATCTTAATATCTTAAATATCTTAATTTGTGTTCCGAAGATGAACGAAGGTCTTACGGGGTTGGAACAACATGAGGGTGAGTAAATACTGACAGAATTTTCATTTTTGGGTGAACTAACCCTTTAATGTACAATACACCGTCCGTTTCAAATAAAGAAAAAATTAAATGAATGAAATGAAAAGTTTAATAACTTAAAGCTAAAATTATATTAAGAATTAATATTATCTTTAATACTTGAGTTAGTGGTCTGCAAACTTTGGAAAATATATTTAAACTGCCACCATTGGCATATAATCCAAGAAAGATGGCTGAAGTCAGGAGATTTTACTAACAGACCTACCATTCTCTATGTGAAAACACAATGATGCTTCCATCTTTCTAAAATAATGTTTATCCCTTTGTAATTTGGCTCCAAATCTAATGTTCATTTTGACCCCCCTCTACAAAATAGTGGATTACTCAAACATCCACCCATGACATTTTGATATGTTGGCTGTCATCACTATTTATCTTTGTCTTTCACCAGAAAAAAATATGAACAAAAATAAAAAATTTGTGGCAGGGAAGTTTACAAAATTTGATTTTGATTTTACTCGGAATGACCAAGCTAACTGTTGTGCTGCATGAATACAAGCAACCCTTCAGATCAGAGGTCTTCAATCCTGTTCCTGGAAGGCCACTCACTGTCCTGCAGAGTTTAGTTCCAACCATAATCAAACACATCTAAATTAGCTCATTAAGCTTTTCAGGATCGTTTGAAAATACAAAGACAGGTGTGCTGAAGCAGGTTGGAAGCACTCCGGGACAGTGGTTCCCCAGGAGCAGGATTAAAGACCTCTGCTCTACATTGTGATGAAATCACATGTGTATGTTTAAAAATTTGCATTGGCTATTCATTTCCCACCTGCACCGCAATTGACAATGTAAAAGTATTTTCCATGCGTTACATCAAATATTCATGGTTCACCTCCGGCTCCTGCTCCCTAGCCCTTTCACAATAACTACTTTTTGTTGGGCGATGTATTGTCTCAGAAATAATTTTGATAAACAATATTATTGTAATTTTAAGACCGTTTTATGCCACTGAATATAATTATAATATAACAGAATAATAATGCCTTCACACGTTCAAATGACAAAGAACTTTTTTTAATATTTAACCCTTTGGGGTCCTTGATGTTTTGACATGCCCTGACATTTGTGCTTTTTTCAGTTGCTTGTAAACATATTAATGACACTGGTGAAATTACACTCTATTTAGCACAAACAGGGCTACCATAATATGTGAGCAACATGTATGTACACGTTTTTATTTTTGAGAGAATATTGTTTATGCGTGGTTATTGAAAAAATAAAAAAATTAAGTTTTTGAAATAAGGCCACAAAACACTAGCCTGGGAAAACCAAGACAACTTCCGTCAAATTTAGATTTACTCTGAAAGTTAGTCTGGCAAAGAGCTCATTTAAACCCATTTCCAGTCCGCAGAAATCCCGGCACCAATCAGAAACGTTGGGGTGGGCTTTACACGATGACGACAGCGCTGGGATTTTGAAGCAGATTTTGTAGCCTCCATTACAAAGATGGACGGCGCCGTAAAACATGACTCGCTCGAATCAGCTATCGCGTCTGTTTTTAAGAGATTTGAACGTTTCCTTTTTGTTAAAAACCAAGCAAAGAGCAACACTCTGAGATGTTTCTCCGCCGGCCTCCGCTCTGCATACGTCATCTCCTTCATATCTCTGGTTGGTTTTAGGTGTACCCGCGACGTCCGTTGGTGACGCCCCTCTGGAAATTATTTGTCTATGACGCTTTGCCAGACCATATCTCAGTTACAACTGAGAATGGTCTAGTTTTAACCAGGCTAACAAAACACATACTAAATGTGTTTTGACTAATGGATGTTATCGCCTAGTTTTTGCTTCAAAATGATCACACACATATCTATATATCAAAGTTTCCGCTAGAAAAAATGGTGCCAGTCAAGTTGAGGAAAACTGGAGGCAGGCCATGTAACTTAAAAATGACATCAGGTCTTACAGAATGC